CCCTTCTGAGCTTTGTGTTTATCTTTCCTTTTTGATGTGTTTGTTTATTTTTAAACATTTTATTTTGAAGTCATCTCTATACTCAAGCAGGGCTTGAGCTCACCACCCCAAGGTAAGGAGTTGCACGCTCCGCGGACTGCGCCAGCCAGGCGCCCCTGGTGAGTTTTAATTCATATATTTGTATGTATGTGTTTTTCCCCCACATTCAAAGATGCCCCACTAAGATGGGAAGAAGCTTCTGGAAGTACAGGTGAGGGTGAATACGCACCCCTTGGGAGCTGAGCCCGCAGCTTCCTGAGTATATTTCATAGTAAACAATTAAGAAATTCCTCTTACAAAAGGGTCTTGGAGTGACGATGACAGTTCAAGAAAACACGTCGTGTTTACGCTTCATCGTGTCACCGAGCACCCTGGAGGACACGGGTCCCCAGTTAGGGTGTGGGCTCTGACACTGGGGAGCAGCACAGCCTCCGACAGCAAAACGTGGGGATCCTGCCGCTCACCAGTGCCCACGTGTGAGAATGGTGAGGGGCTTCCAGGGCCAGGGGCAGAGCATGGACATCATGCCATGCAGCCAATCCCTTAGCCTGGCCAATGATGCAGGGCCTGTGTGCCTGCCTCCAAACGGTGATTCTCTCTTGGGACCCTGCACTGAGTAGCACCAGGCTTTATTTGCTAGTTAGTGGTGGGAGCCGCCCTTCACAAGCCCAGAGACGGACTTGGAGCTGGAGAGCCCACTGAGTGAGGGACGGAGGCCTCCTGCTGACAGCCATGTGAGTGCGCCATCTTGGAAGTGACCCTCCCGCCCCCGTCAGGCCTTCGGTTGACAGCTGCCCCTGCTGACATCAGCCCCAAGAAAGACTCTAAGGCTGGAACTACCCAGCTAAGCTACCCCTGACTTCCTTACGCACAGAAATGGTAAGATTATAAATATTAGTTGCCCTAGGCCGTTAAGCTTGGGGTAACTCATTAGCAGCAATATGCTGCTGATTTGTCTCACATTTGGTGGATGCTCACTAGCTCAGGTGGGTTCTTCACTGCCTGGTGGCCACGCCATATGTCGCCTGTGCTCTCGCTAACCTGGGCTCATAGATGCTGTTTCTTACCTCTGCCCTTCAAATCTCCAACACCTGCACCCGGTTCTGGCTCTCAGCCAATGTCCTCGATTCCTACTCCCATGCGTAGACCTTACAGCCATCAGGACAGAATGTGCCACGGTCCCCCCGTCACATCTCACGTGCATTCCTGCCTTCAGCCCCAAGACAGGGACAGAGTGTCTGTGCTCCCAGCTCCGAGCAGCCCCCCGCCTCGGCCTCTAGATCTGAACGCCTCTTGCCCCCTCAAGGACATCCCTCATGCAATTCATTCTTCCTCTCCTTTTCTGAAAGGAAAGAGTGTTGACCCATGTCCAAATGCTACGGGCAGTCACGTAGAGGACCAGTGGTCTCCACTGAGCGTCTGACCGAGTGATGGGAAGGGAGGCCGGTGGGGAGAACTTGGCTCCACGAGTGTCCCATGTCTCTGACATTGTAACGAGAAAGGGAGGCATGGGGCAGGGCTGTGGGGCCGGAAACGCCGACGCCGTTTGTGTGCTGAAGGAGGAGGTCCAGCGGGAAACGGATGAGTCAGGGTAGCCACGGCACCGGGCGCAGGCGGTGCGTGCCGTCAGGAGCAGGTACACACAGGAGGCCTTCGGGGGGCACACGCACCAACACTCCCTCCAGACGTTGCTCGTGCCCCCCGCTCCTAGATGCCCCCTCTCACAGCCTCCATCAAGCCCCCAAGCACCTTCAAGTCTCTCGTTCTTCAGGATCCAGCTGGAATGCCACCTCCTCCAAGAAGCCTTCCTTATCCCCGTCCCCTCAGAACTGGCTCTGCCTTTCCCACTGCATCGGCATTCCTCGCGGCAGGAACGGTGTTTGTTTGTCCTCTTACCCCCGGCCCAGTGTCTATGCTGCCCAGCAGCTCTGTGGGGCGGAGGGCCTCATGAGTCAGTGGGCTTCGTCCTGTCCCGGGTCAGGGCTCCCCTCCGCGGGCAGTGCAGGTCCTGTGTTGTGGCAAGAATGTGGACGTGAACATCAGAAGACTTGGAGTCAAGTCTGCCACGTGAGTGACGTGGGCTAGCCTGACAGCCCGGTTCACCTGCAGACCATCTGTGGGTCTCTGATCGGCAGTGGACCTGATGTTCTGTCCAACCAAAGGCGTTTACAGCCTCACTTTGTCATAGCGGGTCAGCAGATCTGGGTTGGCCGCTGGACCTCCCTGGGCCCCTTCCTGCCAGGGACGGGGGCCTGGGGTGTTGTGACCCCCAGACCAGGAGAGGGGTGAGCCCGTACTCTGGACCCCGCCTCCCGCTTGCTCGGGGCTGGTGCATGGGGCGTGGTCTTCCAGCTCGGGCACTATTGGGCATGAGGGGTGCTCGCTGTCCTGGGCAGGTGGGGCCCGGGTTTTCCTTAGAGACCACTAACGAGCGCATGGATCACAGCGGCTCTTCTCCATCCCAGTATTCTCTTTTCTTTTACATTTTCGATTGAGATGAAATTCACATACTCTAAAACTCGCCCATTGAAAGTACATGATTCTGTGATTCTTGGCGCACATGTTGTGCTGGGCGACTGTCACTGACATCTAGCTCCGGAAAATTTCCAGCACCCCGAAAAGAAACCTCATACCTGTTTGTGGTCAATCCCAGGCCCCTGTCTGGCTAGTCCCTGCAAACCAGTATCTCCTCCCCGTTTCTATAGATCTGCCTGTTCTGGACGTTTCTCATAACTCAAACCTCAGCAATGCCTGATGTCCGAGTCATCCCTTGCGTGCCTTAGAGTTCCGAGGCAGGGAGGCCCAGGATGCGAATGCTGCCTGCTCTCTCCCCCACTTTCCCAAAATTACGGTTGTGCACGACAGTAAGCTCTGCAAACTGTCATTGTCTGAAAAGCACACTAAGGCCTTTGGGTGATTTACGGCCCTTGCGGAGGGGACGACACAACCTGGGTCCTTCTGTCGATCAAGCCCAGTGTTCCGGCTCGGCCACCTGCTCAGGTGCCACGAGGGGCGATCCTGCTTGGCCTCCCCAGCCTCTGTGAGGGACCCTGGCATGTCTGGGGCATGAGGCTGTGCAGACATCTGTCCTGGTTGACGGAGCCGCCACGGAACAGGCTGCTTCATCCTGGGCGTCCAGCTGGATCACGGGGAGGCATTTGCCATCTGTGCAGGAGGGGCTGGTGAGCAGACAGCGCTCCTGACTCTGCGCGCCTTGCTTTCTGGCTCCAGGAACGAAGGCGCAGATCTGTCTGCCCGGATGAGGGGGGTTTGGTTGTGCAGCATCTGGATGTGACGAGGGGTGATTCAGGTGGATGGGTGGGAAGGAGGGTGCTCACCCCACAGGAGTCCCTCGTGGAGAACATCACCAGCTGTGCTCGCTCAGCTATCAGCAGGAGGAAGGACTTGCTTGCTCCATCAGTCTGACGGGAATGTGCCGGGAGGTGCAGGAGAGAAGGGGAGCCGGGCAGAGCAATTCCACGAGCTCCCCGTCGGTCCACGGACACCCCTGCCTGACGGTGTGCCGTCTCCAACCCCTGCGTGTTCATTTAGTCCCCACTACACTCCGGGAGTTCTTGGGGCTCCAGAGACACAGCGGCAAGCAGAACGCACACACAGGTGTCCTTGTGGAGGTCAGAGCCCGGTGGGTGCAGGGGCCGCAAGGGAATGATTGCTCCGCAGGTGCTGAGGCTCACTACGGAGAGCGAGTCACAGCGGGTGGGTTGGGGGTCGTCCGGAGAGCCTTCCCAGGGTCCCTCAGTGTGTGAAGGGTGAGCAGGGGGTGCACCCTGCTGAAGCCCATATTCCCGGACCTGAAGGAAGGCCAGGAGCTGGCACTGGAGGGAGGGAAGGGCCCATCTGCCCTCCCAGTGGGGGTGGGGGATGGGCGGGACAGGTGCGGGGCCGGGGGGTAGGTGGGGGGTGGTGAGAGGCACAGACTTCCCGGGGTGTATGAGTCATGGGGACGGGAAGCGCAGGCAACAATATTGTGATGATCGTCGTGCCGTGGGGGGGTGACCACGTTCACCGCGAGGAGCGCGATATAGAGAATCGTGGAGTCACTTCCATCTATGCCTGAAACTGATAGAACGTTGCGTGTCAACTACACTCCAATAGTAAAAATTAACAGACAAACCACCGATGGGGTCCACATCCTTCCAGGAGACCAGGCCCAGGAATTTGGAGCCGCAAGAAAGTCCCAGGTCACATTTCCCTTCTGGGAGGAGAGACCATGACTCTGAGCCCCGGGCCTTCCCTTCCGGCCCCGTTCCCCAGGAACAGCATCAGCTGACGAGTTACTGAGTGCTTCTGAGCAACGCTCACGCTCCAGCTCGTCACTCACCCAGCCCTGTGAGGCGGGTCCTACTATTATCTTCCATTTTACAGAGGAGAAAATTAAGGGGAAGGGAGGTTGAATGACCTGCTCAAAGTGACAGAGCTAATTACTGGTGGAGCTGGGACAGAAACCCAAAACCTTCGTTCACACGTGGAGCAGCCTTCTCGGGAGCTCACCCTGCTCCGCCGTGTGGATCTCCAGTATCTCCGACTCCCTAGCAGATTTCCTGGAGGGGAAGCAGAACCCCCAGCCCCTTGCCCTCATCCTGCTCAGAGCCACCGCCCCTGGTCCAGGCAGACACCTGCCTCAAGCTGCAGGACCGGTCTTCCCACCTTGGCCACCGGGGCAGAGGGCAGGGAAGCCGGCCTTGCCTGGGGTGGGGATGGCTGTGATCCCAACAGATTTCTTAGGGAGGGGCCCCGCGAGGTTCCCAGCCTCCTAATTGTTTGCTGAAGGGGAAGGTGGGTGAGATTCATTAGCACCTCAGTACATACTTGACTCACTTCCCTCGGGAGCAGGGCCTCGGATAAAGGTTTACGGCTGCCTGCCCTCCCGGTGGCAGGTGTCAGACAGCCCAGTGCGGCTCTGCCCTCCCGTCTCCATCTCCCCCGTGGAGCCCACGGCCATGTCAGCCCCGGCGGCCAGAGTAGCTCGGCAGCGGGCGGCAGCCGAAGGTCTTGGCTCCCACCAGAAAGCCGTGAAGTACTTGGGCCAGGACTTCGAGAGCCTGAGGCAGCAATGCTTGGACTCAGGGGTCCTCTTTAAGGACCCGGAGTTCCCCGCGTGCCCGTCTGCCCTGGGCTACAAGGATCTGGGACCACACTCCCCCCAAACCCAAGGCATCGTCTGGAAACGGCCCAGGGTAAGTAGCCCGGCCCGCGGCTGTCACACAGGATGGAGGGCCTTCACGTCTGCCTGGCAAATAGCTGAGGGAGAAATCATTCCTCCGGATCCTAAGTTCCTCGGTCCCATATTTCAGAAGCCCCCTCCCCCGCCCTCCTTTAAACCCTTTTCAGAGGCAGCAAGGGATGGAGGCAAGAGCACCCCTGGGCTTTGGAAGCGGACAAGTTAGGTTCAAACCCCAGCTGGGCCTTCCTTGCATAGCTGATCTCTGTGAGCCTCAGCTTTCTCATCTGTGAAATGGTACCCAAAGGCAGGGGGTAGGAACCATCTTCCTCAAACCTCGGCCCGTGGCCTCCTGCTCCGTGCCCCCGTCACGTGATCTGAGCTGCGGGATCGGAGCCCCTCTGCAGGGGGGGTGTGAGACCAAGAGAATCAAGGGCTCTGTCCTGTGTCCAGCGCACAAAATGAGTCACAAGGGACCACGCTCAGTGGCCCCTGGCCAGGCCCCTTCTGTCTTCTCAACCACGATGAGAAAACCGAGCCGTGGGACCTGTGTTCTCGCTGGTGGTGGTGGAGGGAGCATGAGGAGAGAAGGGCTCTTCGGCTATGGTCAGGACCACCGGCCAGCTCCGGCTACCTCTGCCCAGTCACTGTTCTTCCCGCCCGGTCTGCACACAGTTCCCACGGCCGGAAGGACCCCCCCGCCCTGCTCTCTGCAGCCTGCCACGGCCCACCTTCCTGTCCCCCTGAAACCTGTGCAGCTTGTCCGGGGTGTGGGCAAAATCCAGGCTGGGAATCTGTTTCATATTCTCGTTTCAAGAGGTGATTCCACAGACAGGTGTGTTTTGTGCCGGGGGCTGGCTGCGCCCTGGTGGAGACGGTGGTCGGGGAGTCGCGAGAGGCGACTGTGGTCTCGGCTCTGATGGAGACGGTGGGGAGACAGGCACGTGAATCAAGCACGGACACCCTGGGAAGAAAGACGGAAGTGCTCCACGGGGACCAGCCACGAGCCACGGGACCCCAGGGTGTCAGGGGGGTGGGCTCTAGTTGACCTGGAGGACCCCAAGGAGCCTGGGGTGGGGGAGATGGGGATGAGGGGTCCCGCTTGGCCCTAACGAGTTCACTTGCTCCGTTGCGCCCTCCCTCCCCACTCTGTCTCTCCTCTCCTTCCTTCCTTTCCTCTTTCTAACTGTGGTAAAACACACGTAATGTAAGACTTGCCATCGTAACTGGTGTTAAGTGGGCGTCAAGAACATGGACACTGCTGCAGCCATCCCAGCACTACCTCCAGAGCATTGCTCATCTTGCAAAACGGAGCCTCCGTCCTCACTCAACACCGGCCCCCGCCCCTCGCTCCCCAGCTCCTGGGGCCACCGCTCGACTTTCCGTCTCCGTGAGTGTGGCTGCTCCAGGGAGTCCCACAGTATTTATCTCACTCAGCGCGATGCCCTCCAGGTTCATCCATGGGGTAGCGGGTGCTACCGATGTCCTTCCTTTCTAAGGCTGAAGATGATTCCGTTGTACGCGTATACCATATCCTTTGTAATCCATTCGTTAATCGAGGGACATTGGGGTTGTTTCCACCTTTTGGCTCTTACGGATCGTGCTTTTATGAATACGCTGTTCAAATATCTCTTTGAGACCATGCTTTCAATTCTTTGGGGTGTATACTCAGAAGTGGAGTCACTAGATCACTTGGTGATTCTATTTTTGATATTTTTTAAGGAAACAAAGTGTATTTTTTTTTAAAGAAAGTTTTTATTTAAGTTCCAGTTATCATACAGTGTTATACTCGTTTCAGACGGACAGTGTAGTGATTCACCACCCGGTGCTCATCACGACAGGTGCACCCCTTCATCGCCATCCCCTGTTTCCCCTTCCCCTCTGGTGACCAGTAGTGTGTTCTCCTGGTTGGCCCCTCTCTCTGTTTTCCCTTTGCTTGTTTGTTGCATTTCTTAAATTCCACGTATGAGTGAAATTATACGCTATTTGTCTTTCTCTGATCGACTTATGTCACTTACCATTATACTCTCCAGCCCCATCCGAGTTGTTGCAATGGCAAGATTTCTTTCTTTTTCATAGCTGAGTAATATTCTGGTGTGTGTGAGACACACACCACATCTTTATCCATTCATCACGGACACGTGGCTGCTTCCACATCTTGGCTATTGTAGACAATGTTACAGATAAAACATCGGGGTGCATGTATTTCTTGAATTAGTATTTTTGTATTCTTTGGGGTAAATACCCAGCAGTGCTTTTACTGGATCGTAGGGTAGCTCTATTTTTAACTTTCTGAGGCGCCTCCATACTGTTGTCCAGAGCGGCTGCACCAGTTTGCTTTCCCACCGACCGTGCACGAGGGTTCCTTTTTCTCGTCCATGTCCTCACCAACCCCTGTTGTTTCCCGGTTTGTTAACTGTAGCCATTCTGACCCGTGTGAGGTAGTGTCTTATCGTGGTTTTGATTTGCGTTTCCCTGCTGATCAGTGATGTTGAGCATCTTTTCATGCGTCTGTTGGCCATCTGGATGTCCTCTTTGGGCAATTGTCTGTTTGAGTCATTTGCTTGTGTTTAAACTGGGTTCTTGGCTCTTCTGTTTCACTGGCTGAATTGCAGGGAGACACCTGACTATGTCGGTCTCAGGGGCTTCACACCAGCAGCTCTATGACCCTGCTTCCCACAAAGGCTTTAACTTTTACCTGCCTTTAGGGGAAAGTGGATGGGATTGGCTAAACATCCATGTATAGATGCGTTCGCCCTCTTGATGATAGATGAAGCTTGCTACTTAGATCTGTTTTCCGAAATCAAAAAATTTGGCATTCTGCCACTTCCAGGTGTTTTTGCCTATTTTTGGCCTATTTTTTTTAAAGATTAAAAAAAAACTTGTTTGAGAGAGAGGGAGTGCCAGCACAAGCAGGGGGAGGTGGGGGGGAGAAGCAGGCTCCCTGCGGGGCTCCATCCCAGGACCCCGGGACCATGAACTGAGCCGAAGGCAGGTGCTTAACCAGCTGAACCACCCAGGTGCCCCTGTTTTTGTTTTTTGGGTTTTTTTTTTTTTTGCCTATTTTTATGCTGCTAAACAGAAGGTCTGCTTGGGCTCTTGTTCTAAAGGTTGAAGACAGTCTTGCCCAGATTGAAGATCTCAGGGTCAAGCTTGGGTTCTCATGACTCTACGGTGATTTCCCCATAGCATTGGGCAAGAGCGGTGGTGCTGCGGCAGACGCCATGGAGGCGTGCGAGACCAGGGGAGCTCTCTGCAGAGCACCCACGTGCTCTCCATCCTCCCTTCCCCGTTGTGCCATGCCCCTGCCCAGCCTGAGCCTGTGGTGTGAGGGCTGCCCAGCGTGCGTGGGCCGAGTGCGGCCCGGTGGACGAGACTCTTCTCTGTGCATTTCTGTCAGTGAGCAGTTTGTTGATCTTCAGGAGAAATGCAGAGCGGGGAGCGAGGTGAGGTCAGCTGCACCGTAAGGACCCAGGAAGTGGCCAGCCCAGGTTAAGGGAGACGTGGAGGGTGTGAGTGCTGGGAGGTTAGGGTTCAGATAAGGGGACAGGCCTCCGTCCAGGGCTGCCGCCCTTCCTCCAGCAGCTGCCTCTGGACTATGAATTGGGGGTTTTCAGTTCAGCTGTATTTGTGTGCAGGTCGTGTGCGGATGTGGGCGCAGAGGCTCCGAGGAGGTCTCTCTAGTCGGAGGGAGACAGCAGGAGGGCTGTCAGGCAGCCCGTGGCTTCAAGTCCCAGTTTGGGCATCAGGTGATTGGGATTCTGGTTCCTTCGGTGCTGTTCACTGGCCCTGTGACTGGGGGTGAGTTCCTGACCTCCCCAGGACTCAGTTCCCTCCCCTGTAAAAGGGCAATAATGACGTTACTTACCTCGCGGGCTTTAGCATGGCGCCTGGCACGTCACCGAGCTCAGGACTCTCTGTTATTCATGTCAGAGGGTGAAGCTCACACACGATGAAATGCAGGGGAGCTCAGGGGAGGAAGCACTTGCACCTGACCGTGGAATCGGGGCCGGTTAATTACGCGGACATTCGGACATTCGAGCAGGGCCGGAAGGAGCAGGGCAGGAGGGCCCAGGCGGGCTGTGCGCGCATGTCCAGGGCAAGCACGGCCCGAGGAAGGCGGTAGTCCCTCACGATGAGAGAGCAAGCACCAGGGAGACCGAGCTGAGGCGGGAAGCTCCAAAAGGGCCGGGCCCTGGAGGGGCAGGCTGCCGGCCAGTGACATGGCCATAACCCGTGGCGATGGTGACCACGGTGACGGCAGCACGGGGTGTCCCCCAGCGCCGGGCCAGAGCTCCCGGAACGGCCGCGCAGCACGGCCACTGCCTGCCGGACTCTGTGCGGTGTCCGGGCTCCCTGTGCCCTGCGTCAGGGGCTGATTCCAGCCCGAGTAATTTGTGTCTGTGGCGTGGCAGTGAACGTGATCACTGAGAAGACACGAGCTTGTTATGAAGGACGGAGGGTGGGGCGTGGGAGGCTGCCTCCCCAAACCGCTCTGCCTGCCACTTTACCCCGCATCTCCCACCCGAGGGCCGGCCGGTGGGAGGGACGTGGCGACGGGGAGGACTCTGTGATGGCTCGTACCGCCTGTGAGCCACCGTGCTTCCCCTCTGCCTGTAGATCACTCCGTGCCCTTCTGCCTATAAGCCGCGAAATCGCCGCTAGCCCGTGAGAGCCGCTCCGTCTCCCACACCGGATGCAAGATGTTAGCAGGACGTGCGGACCTGTTAGCTCGGAGTCGCTGTGGCCGACACCACGTGAGCTGCGTGGTTGGCTTGTGCGGCTCAGGGGAGCCATCGGGGGTCGTCATACTCTGTGGCTGGTGGTTGAAGCCAGGGGTTTGGGCGATGCCCCAGGAGGGCATCGTGGTGTTGCTGCAGGAAGGGGGGTCGTTCAGAGCGTTGAGGACCCCGGTGGCGGAGGGCTCCCTGACTCTGACGGGCTAGCAGAGCAGAGCGAGGAGGATGACGGAGGAGGAGTATGTAGAGAGGTGAGGACACGGTCAAGGGCGAGGAGGGATGCAGAAGCCAAGGGAAGAGAGCTCCAGGAGGGGCGAGGGGGAGGGAGCAGTCAGCACCTGGGGCAACGGCGCCCCTTCTGTGGTCACTGGCCAAGGGGAAAGCCAGATTTCAGGAGACTGAGGGATGAGCGGGTGGTGGGAGGGGACAATATTTTAAGAGGGTTTTTAAGGAGCGAGATTCTGTGAGACCCCGTTCGGTGTCTTCTCTTCCCTTCCTTCTCAATGAAGCAGCATCTTCTTTTTCAAATGAAATTTAATGTGATTTTTTTGTCCGTCCCCTTTTTAAAAGATCTTATTTGTTTAATTGACCCAGAGAGAGAGAGAGACAGATAGACTGAGCACAAGCAGGGGGAGGGGCAGAGGGAGAGGGAGAAGCAGGACTCCCCACTGAGCAGGGACCCCGATGCCGGACTCGATCCCAGGATCCCGGGATCATGACCTGAGCCGAAGGCAGACGCTTCACCGACCGAGCCACCCAGGCATCCTGTCTCTCCCTTTTTAATTATTAATTTTCCAATCTCTCCACCTTCCGAATTTGCAGCTTTAAGAACACCTAGCTTGGCTGATGCCAGGTCTCTGTCTAAATTTGGGAGATCGCAGAAGCAGGAAACAAACAGATAGGATGGAAGGTCGGCCCCCCAGAGGGCTGGTGAAGAGCTAGCAGAACTTACAAGGAAATTCTAAGGCTCGCTCTGCTAGGAAAGGATGTACAAGACATTTGTGATAAAAACGGGTGTACGTGTCGATGTGCTTTTATGTGAACAGACAGTTTCTGGAGGAATACGTAGGAAATGTGAACAGTGAGGAATCTGAATGCAAGAGATTTCTGTTTTATGGCATTTTTTACTTGGACTTTTTTAAAACTTATGTGCATATATTACTTTTTCAACAAAACACAAGCGGATGAATTTTTTTAATACTTGGAAGAAAAGAAAGCCAGCCCAAAGGCGCTGTTTCTGCCCACTTAGGCAGGAGCTGGTGATGTGCAGGCAGGGCTGTGAGGCGGCCTCCGCAGGACTTGGTTCCCGGCACCAGCCCGTCCGTCTGCTTCTCTGTGCGTTCTGATGCACCTGCGGTCGGTCACGCCCAGGGGCCCCTTTGCCTCTGACCGACTGCCTGGCTAGCCAGACCCCCTGTCCTTCTGCTCCTAGACCCTGCCTTTCTAACGGACGGGAGGGCGTTCTCTCCCAACCAGACAGCCTCCCAGATGCACCCCGCCCCGGGCGTTTCTCACGTTCCCTCTTCGCGCAGCCCGCACCCGTTCTTCCGCGCTCCGCTTTTCTCCGACTTTTCCAGGAAGCTCAGTCCGGGTTTCCCACGCAGGCTGGGTGCACCTCGAGTGTGAGGACCATCCCCTTCTTCCCTTCCCCACGCCCACGGGCCTGCCCGCCCTGTGCCGCGGTGTGTGCGCGCACGGGGTGGGCGCCCGCAATCCTGCTGGGTAAACGGGGAAGACAGTGACTCGCTGGGCCCCAGCGGTGCCCCAGGGCCGGTGCCACCCTGACGGGCGGAGGGAGCGCGTGTCAGCTGCGTGAACACACCCGGCACCTCGGCGTCTCCGTCAGCTCCTGGGGCCATCTGCATGTCGTCGGGCAGTTAATGAGCGTGCATGGCATTTAGTTAGCGTGTGGAACATCGATCTAATCCTCTGCGCAAATAGGGGTGTTGTCTGAGAGTGAGGTCATATTGCAGCACGTTAGCGCCTCGGCCTCTGCCCTTCTCCCACCACGTTCACACCCACCTCCGTGCAGCACAGACGCTGGTGGACAGAGGGGAGGCAGGCTGCGGCTGCTGCCCTGCACCTGCTGCCCTGCACCCCTGCCCTGCACCCCCGCCTGCATCCTTGCCCTACATCCCCGCCCTGCACCCCTGCCCTGCACGCCCTGCACCCCTGCCCTGCATCCCTGCCCTGCATCCCTGCTCTGCACTTCTGCCCTGCACACCCTGCACCCTCGCCCTGCACCCCTGCCCTGCATGCCTGCCCTGCATCCCCCCTCTGCACCCCTGCTCTGCATCCCCACCCTGCACTCCTGTCCTACACCCCCACCCTGCACCCCCGCCCTGCACCCCTGCCCTGCATGCCCTGCACCCCTGCCCTGCACCTCTGCCCTGTGCCCCTGCCCTGCACCCCTGCCCTGCATCGCCCCTCTGCACCCCTGCTCTGCATTCCCACCCTGCACACCCGCCCTGCACCCTTGCCCTGCACCCCCGCCCTGCACCCCTGCCCTACATCCCCGCCGCTTCCTCCTTCGCTGGGCTGCAGAGTCCTCAGCAGCAGTGCGAGGGGCACGCAGTAGGTGGCCTGGCCTCCTCCCGGCTCCGCTCTGACCCTGGAGCTCCCTGACCCTGGCTACCACCAGCGCTGGGCATCTTGTGACTTGTGCTTTGTCCCACTTGCATTCAGGAATTGTGTCCCAGCCCCCAGTTTATTGTGGGCGGAGCCACGCGCACAGACATCTGTCAGGGGAGTCTAGGTGAGTAACCGACTATTTGGGGCAAGGGCAGCTGTGTGTGTAACGAGTAAAGGGACTTGACATCCCATCTGCGGTGTTTTGTGTGGGTCTGTGCTCCTCTCGTGGGTTTGCGATGCTAGAACCATGGCTCTCCTGGGGAGATCTCTGCAGGCCACCAAACCGCCTTCCAGGCAGGAGTAACGGGCCAGGGTTGTAGGCACGCATGGATAGCGGGCTGTGTGGTGCTTTGACAGTCGTTGCCTGTAAGTGGGCGCAGTTTGCCGGATGGAGTGGCCATGTCCACATGACTGTGGGCTGTCCCAGCAGATGCTTTAAAATGAGTGAGAAAACAAGAATCCCATCTTCCAGCCGAGCTCTCTTTCAGAGCCGGGCACCCCCTCCCGGGACGACGACAGAACCGGACCTGGAGACACAGGTACCCGGGAAACAGTCCTACCTGTGAGGATCAGCAAAGCAAACAGAAGATCAGCATCCACACAGACCCGAAACCCCTTTCTTTTCAGGAAGGTCCCCTCTTTCCTTTTCCCTCTTTTCAGCCTGCTGGAAGCCTTTATGAATCTGAAATTCACGGGCATTTAATTTCAAATGCATCCCACATCCTGGCCTTAAGGAGTGTAGCTAGCCGACACGCCCTCGGCCGGAGCTCATGGAGTGGGAGTGCAGAGCGGCGGGAATGGTCCAGGCGTCCCTCATGGGCATGCACCCGCTGCCCAGAGCCGCGGCCTCCGTGTCCCAAGCCCTTGTGCCATTCGAGCCGTTTGTGCGGGGGCTCGGGGTGGGGGGGAGTGGGGGCAGTATCCTGCCCCTTCTCCTTCCGCCTTTTTACTTGGAGCTCAGTGTTTAACCTAATCAGCATGTGTCTCTGGGAAACAGAGCTCTGAATGTACGCCTTTAACAGCTTCTTGGTACACATGTTTTAACTTCAGAAAAGCTATTTAATAAGAGCCTTTTAATTGTCAGCTTGAGTAGGGGTTCCCTTGAATAGTTCTGAGCAAGGAGAAAAGTGGGCTTCCAGAGGAGGCCTGGGTGTTGCCGTGGCGAGTGCGTGCAGCTGGCCAGGCACAAATGGACCCAACCGCTCTCCGAATCCAGCTCGTGGGAAGGAAGTGGGGCTGCCAGCAGGTGCCCGGGGGTGCGCCCAGCTGCGTGGTGGCTTTGCGTGAACGGAGCAGAAGGCGGCTGAGGGCCTGGAGCGAGGCTCAGCAGGTGGAAAGGTGGCTGCCCCTGGGTGCGGGGGGGCTGAGTCAAAGCAGCCATGAGCCAGCCGGGCCGCCCCACGCGGTGGGTGGAGGCTCCCGGGGAGGCTCCCCATCAGAGACCGGTGCCAGGCGCCACTCGGGGAGACGGGCGCACTGCCAACAACGTGTGTTCAGAGCTTTAGAGTCTGACACCACACAGTGGGGTCTACTCCGGTTTAAAACATTTTTATTACTCTTGCTTACAGTTATTTTATTACTATTTTGAATACACGAGTTAAAACACTCGGAAAGTGCGCCGTGATGAGTCCGCTTCCCGCCTCCCTCCTCCCATGCTCGTTGCCCTGTGACCGCTTTTCTGTTCTAGCAAATTCAAGCAAATCCAAATTCTCTTTTTTTTCGATGCTTTCTTGCATTGGAGGCAGCAAACTGTGGATGCTGCTGGGCACCTGTTTGTTCTTATTCCTCTTAACAAAGACATGTCTCAGTGTCTCACGGGCGGAGCCTGGGCAGAGGGCAGAGGGCAGAGGAGCATCCGTGGGATGGAGGCTGGCCACCAAGGAGGCCGGGGCTGTGGTTCAGGGCCCTGGGAACCCAGGCCAGCTGCTGTCTCCAGGGTCGGAAATGTCTAGCTCTGCCTCTGCAGGGGTGCCAGCAGGGGTGAGGGCTGGCGCTGGCATGGTTTGGAGGGAAGGAAGAGTGGTATAACTACGGGGCTCGGAGGGCCCGTAGGAGGTCAGGAGGTCACCCTGGCATGGAGCAGGCGGAGGCCGGGGGTGCTGCTGAACACCCCACAACGCTCGGGAAAGCCCCCCAGCCCAGCATCATGCGGCTCGAGCGTCAGCGGGTTTGAGAGATCCTGTTGTAGCTGGATCCACTCACGTCCCAGGGGCCTGAGAGCTAAGGCAGTAAGTAGCTCTAAGTCCAAATCTGGTTCTGGTCTTACCGGCTGTTTTCTCTCCCGCTTGGCGCCATCAATTGCACAACGGCTAAGCCCTAAGATCTTCTCGCTAGTCATCAAGATATGAGTTTCCCAATCCCTCTGATGCTTTCATGCGGATGGACGAGGTTTCCTTCACTTGGCACTGCAGGCCGGGGTGCGTGAGATGTCTGTGGCCCACCGCCCGCCTCCTCAGCGTAGCCAGCTAGCTGGGGGTGTTGGCAAAGCCGGAGGACCCACAAGTGTGTGTGTTTTAACCACGGCCAGAGGCAGGATGAACCAGGAGGCCGGAAGACGTGCTGTGGGAGCGGGGAGTAGAGGTGGGGGGGGTGGCCCTGGGATGGCTTGGTGCTGACGTCAGAGCTGAACCGCGCCTGCTTGTGAACCCTGAGCCAGCAGAGGAGGCCTCCTCCGCCATCAAATGCCGAAGGTGGGTTTTTACAAACAAGCCCATGTGAGCAGATCAGCATCTGCGTCAGGGTCAGACCTGAGGTCGGCACAGCCTTGCTTACTCCCCCGGTTTGTTCTCCGCCCGCCACCCGACTCCTGCTGACTGCAAGGGGGAGGGAAATGCAAGCCAGCCAATCACAGGTGTTTCCACCTGTCTCCGAAAGGTTCCCATCTCTTTTGGATAAACGTTCCTCATCCAGTCGCTTTTTTCGGGTGGTTTCTTGCTTCTTTAAGGCCGGCCTGTCTCCACCCTCCCCAAGACGGCGCCCAGATGTGAGGAAGGCCAGAGATCCCCTGGGCGACCCCAGAGGGTGTCCTGGATCCCACTCAGTTCTGAGGCACTGTCTGCCCAGACAGGGTGAGAGCACCACAGGTTAAGGGCTCAGCCCCGCAAGACTGTCCCCCCACACCTCAGACCCCAGGCTCCTGTTCCCATTGTCTCCCGGGCTTCTGACCCATCAGCTGTAGACAGAGGGCCCCCAGAGCTCAGAGCATCGGTTCCTATAAGAGATACAGCTCAGGAACTGCCAGATGGAGGAGAGGCATGGGGTGAGGTCTGGGGAAGGGGCTTCCATGCTCCCTTTGGGGCGCTGATCGCCCCAAATCTGCACACGTGCACCAGGCTGGAAGCCTCTGGGTATTTATGGAGGCTTCATGACAGAGGCCTGATAGACGAAGTCACTGGTGCTGGTGATGGGCTCCTGGGTCAGGGGATGGGGGTGGCTCTGAAAGCTCCAACCCACTCATCCTGGGGTTGGTTCCCCTGGCAACCAGTTGGGTCACCTAGGGGCTTTCCAAAGCCACCTCGTTAACATAACAGAAGAACTGGGCGCCTGGGTGGCTCAGTTGGTTAAGCGACTGCCTTCGGCTCAGGTCATGATCCTGGAGTCCCGGGATCGAGTCCCGCATCGGGCTCCCTGCTCGGCGGGGAGTCTGCTTCTCCCTCTGACCCTCCCCCCCTCATGCTCTCTCTCTATCTCATTCTCTCTCTCAAATAAATAAAATCTTTAAAAAAAATAAATGTGCACTTATTAAAAAAAAAAACATAACAGAAGAACTGTGCTTTCTCCCACTACTTAGAAAGCAGCCTAGGGTTTCAGAAGCGCTGAGCCCAGAAACAGGTCTAAGACCCAGCCTGCATCTGTTATTATAAATCACAGTGTCCCGGGCTGGCTGGTGCTCGTGCTGGAGCTGTCCCCGGGGTCCTGGCTGGCCCCAGGGGGCTGCGACTGTGCAGGGTCAGGCCCATTCTCCCTCCGGGGGGCTCCCAGGCCCGACCCCGAAGCCGCCGCAGCTCCGGGTGGGATGGACCTGCCCCGTTCTCCCTTCCCGGCGACTGCCATCTCCTCTCCTCTCTGCCTCCAGGCCCTGCGCCACCACCCTCTTTACTGCCGCCGGTCATCCTGCTCCCGGGGTCCCCAAGAATGCCCTCTGCTTTGGCTTCATTTTCACCCTATCTGCGGCTTTACTGTTCTTCCTGCTCCTGCCACTGATCAGCCTCACGAAGGGACTATTGCAGAAGTCCCAGCACCTGACCTCTGTCCCTGCTCCCCTCCTTGTCCTTCTGCCGGTGGCCCAGGGGTAACTCTCCTTCTCCTTGGTGTTTGGGAAGTGCCCATAAGCTGGAGCCTGAGCTCTTGCTACCTACGGTTTATAATAACATTAGGTGTTCAGACCTAAAGGGAATTTCTGATTTAGCACTTTCTATTCTAACAAAGCCTGACTCAGGATGACTGTCTCTTGGTGGACTGAAAACCAGAGCCCCTCATTGTTAGGGTTGTGGTCTGTTTACTGGAAGCCCCGAGGCCTATGGGTGGAGGGGGTGGAGGGCTCTAGGGGATCATTATTTAAGTGGAATTAAAAAATCACTTTATTGTTTTAATAACTATTAAACCCATTGTATGTATAACCCGAGTAAGGAGTAGAAAAAACAAAGCTCAGGTGGTTCCCCGACTTCCCCTGAGGTCAGTGACCCAGGACCGCCCCCCCCTTCTAGCTCCGTGGTTAGTCCAAACTCTAACCCACGGCCAGATCATGCTGGAAGGTGGCCGCAAGGAGGGACTTGTCCATCAAGATTTTTCCCAGGTTTTCCACCCACCTTATTCTTGGCTGCTTCTGGAAATTAAAACTATGATCCAAGGTCAAAGCCGCGTCCCAACGGAGAAGAACCCAGCGAACGTGCCACAGGCTTCAAGGCAGGTCCCCAGACAAGTTCCTGAAATGTTCTGAGCGCAGAATAGATGTCCATCCTCCCGAGAGGACTCTTTGAAGGGGCACTGCTGACTTGGATGTATTCCTCTCCCGACAATCCACTCACACCTGACACAGCCCCCGGCAGGAATCCAAACGCCCGCGTAGCCGCCGCCCCTGCTCGGAGCCCCGCACTTGCCACGGGTGCCAGGAGGACCTGCAAGATGTCACGAGTGAGGCAGATGAAAAGAAAATTAAGCTCCTCCAGCTGGGCAGCCCTGTTTGATGTCAGCAGCTGAGGGGCGCGTAGTTTCCGTGCCTTGAATTGTAATGTGTGAGGAGTGCTCTAGATGGGCTGATGGAGGCACTGAGCCGGAAGCAAGAATGTCGGAGGGGCGGTGAGGACGCGTGCGTCACGGGGGGCTGCGGGGTGGACACCCTGTCAGCTCCCCTGGGACCTGTGCTGGGAGCCTTCCCTCATCATCTCCCCCATTCCCGGATGCTGGTGGAGGTGGGAACCGTCAGGCCCACTGCATGTCCTTCTTGGGCTTCCTGTTCCCACAGACCAGGGAGACTTAGGAGCAAACAGGCAGGGGTCACTGGGGGTTTGCCTAAGAACAAACTATAATCCATCGAGTCATTCAGACACTTGCTGTTCATTAAGCGTTTATTGGGCCAAGGTCAAATGGGCCAGGATGCCAGGAATCCACAACCCGGCTGGCTGGAGGGCCCTGGCAGGGTGCTGGGAGGCCCTGGGAGGGCACTGGAACCCTGGGAGGTCACTGGGGCCCCAGGAGGTCACTGGGGTCCTGGGAGGGCGCTGGAACCCTGAGGAGGGCGTTGGGGCCCAGGGAGGGCACTGGAACCCCAGGAGGTCACTGGAGTGCTCCGGGAGGGCGCTGGAATCCCGGGAGGTTACTGGGACCCCAGGAGGGCGCTGGGCCCCTGGGGAGGGTGCTGGGGGGCCCCGGGAGGGCGCTGGGGCTCTGGGAGGGCACTGGGCCCCTGGGGAGGGTGCTGGGGGGCCCCGGGAGGGTGCTGGGCCCCCAGGGAGGGTGCTGGAATCCCGGGAGTTCACTGGGGCTCCAGGAGGGCGCTGGGCCCCCCGGGGAGGGTGCTGGGAGGCTGCTGGGCCCCTGGGGAGGGTGCTTGGGGTCTCGGGAGGGCACTGGGCCCCCAGGGAGGGTGCTGGAACAGTGGGAGGTCATGGGGGCCCCGGGAGGGAGGCGGGTAGCTGATGTACAAGCAGGTGCTGTGACCCGAGGTGGCTTGTGATCGGTGCGCAGAGCTTAGATTCGGTCTTCAGGAAACAGAAACAGAGTGATTCGTGGCTGGAGAGAAGTGGGGGAGAAGCCATAGGTGGCAGTGCGGTGAGGACTTGTCAGGGGAGGGAACAAAGCAGCCCCACCCGGCGGGAAAGGCCAGGGCAGGCGCATCTGAGTTTGCCTGGGGGGCAGGTTCTTGGTGGGCGCAACGAAGCAAAGCTGGACACGTGGGGGGGTCCGTATCGTCCTCTGTCCTTGCATCCTCCAACCCAGCCATCGGTGCTTAGAGGTGAAACGGTCAGTGTCCGGGGACGAAGGGGGGAGCAGGGAACTTCCCGTCCGGAGGACAGGACTTGGAGTGAAGCAGCGGGAGACACCGTGACCTTCAGACGCGGGAGGACGCGGCGCATCTGACGCGGGAGGGCTGGGCTGACATGGGCTGGGCTGAGCGGGACGCTGAGGTCAAACAGGGCAGGGACGTGCGCCTGCCTGACCGGTGTGTCCCTGTGATCTGGTGCAGGTGACTGCTGGCTGCTGGCCGCCCTGGCCTCCCTGACCCTGAATGGAGAGCTGCTTCGCCGCGTGGTCCCGGGGGGCCAGGATTTCCAGCAGAACTACGCGGGGATCTTCCGTTTTCAGGTACTGTGCTCACGGCCCTGGACACCACGGGTGACCCTGTGGCTACATGGAGGTCGGGATGCCGTCGAAAATCTGTGTGTCACTTTGGACTCCCCCAAATCTCCACCCCTGATGGCCAGCAGTTGACCTGAAGCCTTCCCGAGAATACAGTCGACCCACACACGTTTCGTGTGTCAAGTGTATTATATGCTGTGTTCTTAGCATAGAGTAAGTCAGAGAAAAGAAAATGTCGGTAAGAAATCCTGAGGAGGACACACGTTTCAGGACTGTGCTCTACTTATCAGCCGGCCCGCGCTGTTCAGACCGTGTCGTTCGGGGTCCTTCCCATGCCCTTGGGTCCCACCCCACTTCCCCGAACCAGAGACCCAGCAGCCCAGGTCCAGCGGTCCCTGCAGGGGACCCGGACGCTCCCCTGGTCTGAGAACTGCCGCTCCCACGTGCCCTGCCCTCCCCGGCCCTGCGGCCTCGAGGAGGAAAGGGGTCCCGAGGTCCTGAGGTCCCAAGGCATGGGACCCACGCGGGCGCGTCTGCTCCTCACTGACACGCTGGACGCCATGTGTCCTGTGTTCTCTGGCCTCTCCTGTGAGCATGGACGGAAGACGCAGAGCCTGCTCTTGGGGGGCTCAGAGTTCGTCCCTCGGCACAGGGTGCTGTCTGAGGGGCCTCTGCCCCATGTCCCCTGCCCCGCAGTTCTGGCAGTACGGCGAGTGGGTGGAGGTGGTCGTGGACGACAGGCTGCCCACCAAAGACGGGGAGTTACTGTTCCTGCACTCGGAGACAGGCAGCGAGTTCTGGGGAGCGCTGCTGGAGAAGGCCTATGCCAAGTGAGTATGCGGTTCGGGGCTGGGAGACCCCTGTGTCCCCAGAGGATCGCACCCACCCCGCCCCGAACTCAGGGTGCCACACCAAGTCCTCCCCAGCACCTGGACGCTGGGGCCAGGAGCTCTCGGCTCAGCGCCGCCCCCATGAGGGTGTGGATTGGGGTGGGGAGCAAGCTCTGCAGGGTCTTGGTGCCTCCACCTTCTCCTTCAAACCCCCAGGTCAGTTCCTAGGTCAAGGTGAATTTATTAAAGAGTGATGAAAAGGAAGGAACAGGTGCACTTTGATGCCAGTGTCCTGCCCAGTCCTCAACCCCCTTCCTGCTGGTGGTCCATGTGGGAACCTTCTTTGTGGGTTCTCCTGATGTGTGTCACTTACCCTGTCCTGCAACCCCATTCCTTTCCAGCCCTCTTCCCAGAGCAAGCCCCTGGGGCTCTCTCTCCCAACCCCTGCCCAGGCTCCCAACCCCCAGGAACTCAGGAACCCAGGGTTGGTGCTGCGAAAGCTGCACTTTGCTTCTTAAAGGGCTGGGGGTGGTGTGGCTTGGTGGGAGGTGGCCCGAGATTCTTTCCTGTAAACCGCGGCCGGGGCTCCCTGCTGACCCAATGCAAGATTGCCTTCCGGTCCAATCTGCATCCTAGCGCCAGCCCACGTGGGCCCCTCACTTGTGGATGATGCACCTTTTCTTTCTTTCCCCACAGGCTCAACGGTTCCTATGAGGCTCTCACTGGAGGGTCCACGGTGGAGGGGTTTGAGGATCTCACTGGCGGCATCTCTGAGTTTTATGATCTGAAGAAGCCCCCAGCCCACCTGTTTCAGATCATCCGGAAGGCCCTCCGTGCGGGGTCCCTGATGGCCTGCTCCATTGATGTGAGTCTCTCTGCTCCCCACTGTGTGAGGGGGAAGGGGCCAGAGCAGCGTCTGGGGCTGAACGGGCAAGTCTGGGGATGCACTGGTCCCAGACCTTATTAGTGGCTAGGAGCTGGGGCGCACCGTGGGAGCCCCAGGCTGTAGTACTAGGAAACGGCCCTGAGAACAGAGCCCTGATCCCTGGATCCCGCATCCTACCTTCACTGGCCCCCTTTCATGGGGCTTTAAGAAACAGATATATGAGGGGTATACTTGATGGACTTTGAGATCCCTGAGGAGAAGGGGAGTGGGTCTGGAACGAGGGTGCGTATGCTGCCTGGGGGACTGGCTGTCTGGGCCCCGGGGTGCGTGGACACTGGAGCTGGTCTGTTGTCCCTGCCCCTGTCTGCCTTGACCTGGTGGCCTCGGACAGGTAAACCGCACGTCTCTGCCAAATCTCAGCCCAAGTGTGTGTTTGGTGGGGAGACGATATGGGGCCCAGAGAGGGGGCCTGTGGAAGAGGAAGCGTGGAGACACTGGAGAAGCAGACTGGCCCAGAGCCGCCGTCCTGGATAATTGGTCTTCTTCAGGTGGTATGGGGTCACTTGGGGAGAGCAGGTGACCCCCCAGTTTCTGGTGGCATTTAAAGCCTGTAAGCCGTTCTCCGGCCCCTGGAGCCACACAGTGCCGGCCTGGAGCTGCAGGCCTGCTCAGAGGTCACCACCTGCTCCCCGAGGTCACTGCTGCAGCTGCACCCCAGCACCGCCAGGGGGCCAGCCCCGACGGGGTCAGGGTCAGGGTCAGGGTCAAGGTTGGCCATCATCCGTGGACTTCATTCCCATTCAGGTCTCCAGTGAAGCCGAAGCAGGAGCAGAGGTGACCACCTGCCAGAAGCTGGTGAAGAGCCATGCCTACTCTGTCACTGGGGCCCAAGAGGTAAAAGCTGGCCAGGGAGGTGAGGGGAGCAGGTGGTGATGCTGCACGTGTCCAGGTTGCCAGGGAGAGCCTCCCCCCGCCGAGGTCCCTCCCTGGCTGCCCGGACGCTACCCGTGCATGGGCCGCTCCTGCTCACGGGCCCTTCGGACTCTTCCCCACTCGGGGACGGATCATGCGGCCGGTCTGAGCGACAGCTCTGTGGACTCCAGTGGCAGGCAGATGAGATGTGGCTGGAGGTGGGAGGATGGTTTTGGAGAAAGTTGTAGAGATGGTCTGTTAGATTCCATAGGCGGTCTAAGAAGTGTGTGTGCACAGGTGCAGCAGTCGAAACCCCTAGGACCCCAAAGGGGGTAACGGCAGTGGTGTTGGCCCCCTCAGGATGGGGCACAGTGGTGGGAAGGAGTGGCCCTGTTCCCTCCTCGCCAACCCAAGCAGAAAGCAGGGGCTGCAGTTTTTGCCATGTTTATTTACTATATTCTGCCCACTTGGAAAAAGCGTTGGCAGTGGGTCATAGTGAAGAGCGCAGACACAACCAAACCACGAAGCTGAAATAACCAGACAATCCAGGCGAAAGGCACGGCTGCCCTTGAGAAATGAACTTTGCTCTGAGCTTCCCGATGGCCAAGGCAAAAAGGGAAATGCGATGAGATCTCAAGTTTTTGTTGTGTATCAAAACGGCACGGGCGCTTGTGTTTTGAAAACACACTCTTTAGTAAAGTCGTTCCCAAGTAGAGATTGAGCACGTGTGTGTAAGCATGGGCCAGGGCATGATGGAGGACACAAACGGAAGTAGGACACAGAAGACCTAACGTTCATTGGGTCTGTGTGTGTGTGTGAAATGTGAGCATGGGGCTCTGGTGAGTGTTCAGCAAGTGGCCAGGGAAGGCAATAAGTATGGGCTTGGCTCCAAGTATGGGCTCTGCAGACACACTGCCCGGGGGCCCATCCTCCGTCCAGCACGTTCTGACCTAGGGTGACCTAACACCCTGAGTCTAGGATTTCGGAGCTGTAAGAAAGATGGTAACAGCACCCAGCTCCTAGGACTGCCCTGAGGTCTCGGTGCGGTGACAGTGTGTTTGAAATGCTTAGCGCCGTGCCTCCTCCAGAGCGCATCCTCGCTGAATGCTGACCACTGTGCTCTGTGCATTTACTGTCATTTGGTCTCATGGATTAAGAAGCTCAGTCTTAGTCAACTACAAAATCGAAACGCAAGTTAAAGCCGACACAAACTTGTTTGTGAGCCAGATACACAGTTTATTCAACCAAATTGTGGAAAATAGAGCAGTTGGCCATGTCTGGAAAACATGCATTAAAATAGGGGTGTGGTTGTTTGGGGACGTTTGGAAAGTGTAAGTCCTCAGGGGTCAGACGCGGGCGGGGGTGCAAATGTGGGCGGGGGGCCGGCGTGGGGCGGATGCGGGCGGCGGGGGGACAAACACAGGGCGGACGCGGGGCAGGCACGGGGCTGATGAGGGTGAGGGCAAACGCGGGCGGGGGATAGACGCGGGGCAAATGCGGGTGGGGGCAGATGTGGGCGGGGGGCAGGCGGGGAGCAGATGAGGGCGCGGGGTGGACCCGTGGTGGACGCGGGGCAGACATGGGGCAGATGCGGGCGGAGGGCAGCCGGGGGGCAGAAATGGGCGCGGGGTGGACGCTGGGCGAACGCGGGGCGGAGGAGGGCGGGGGGGGGGGGGGGGGGGGGGGGGGGGGGGGGGGGGGGGGGGGGGGGGGGGCGCGGGGTGGATGCCGGGGGGACGCGGGCGCTGGGCAGATGCGGGTGGGGGCAGACGCGGGCGGGGAGTGTCGGGGGGGCAGGTGGGGGCAGACGTGGGTGCGGGGCAGTCATAAGCTCCGGGCAGCGGAGCCCAGCGGCTCAGGGGCTTCCGCGTGTGGACCTTGCAGGTGGATTTCCGGGGCGGTCCTGAGAAGCTGATCAGACTCCGGAACCCGTGGGGCGAAGTGGAGTGGACGGGGGCCTGGAGTGACCAGTAGGTTCTTTCTCCCCGTCCCCGCCTCCCTCTGCGGAAAGGCGTCATGCAAAACACAGTCCCGCGGAGACCCGTGGCCCGCGAGCGCGGCCGCGCTTTCTGAGCAAGCCGACTGTCCAGGAAGGGGAACCGCGTGGCTCCCGCTGAGAAAGCAGAGCTCGCGCTCTGGCTTCTGGGCCTCCGGGTGCCTGCTTGGCGTTGGCAGGTTTGGCCGCTCTGTCTCTGGAAGGTTTGCGTGTTTCCTACCTGCCACACCGGGGTGATCGGACGCCTCCCACCGCCCAGACCCTGGTCTCTGACAAACGCCAAGCCCCCCAGCGCTCAGCTTAGGATCCGACCCCAGGGGCCGGCTGGCGGCAGACAGCGGTGGGCGGACGGGCGTGGCGCCCTCGCTCAGGATGGGGCGCTTGCTCTCCCGACAAGGTCATGAAGGGCCAGGCCGGACAGGCTCTCGTCCCGCAGGCCTCCCGCCTGGGAAATGGGAGTACACCCATCTCAATAGGTCCCTAACCTTGCGGGAGGCGCCCCGCGCTGCCCATGCTCCTCCATGGCCCAAGGGCCCTGGGAGGGGGCTTCATCACGTGCGTCCACGCTGCCCATCACTGTCCACCGCCGCACACTTCCCTTCAGGTGTGCACCACGGAGAGACGTGGGTCCCTAAGGCCACAGGGGTTGATTCCACTGTCCAAGTTGGAGCAAAACCCAAAATCTCTGTTCTGGCAATTGCCCAGAAAGGGGGTCCCAGCCGAACAAAATTGACACTCTAAGTTTTGGCCGTTTTAGCTGATAGCTGGTTAGCAGGCTGCCCAGAGGGCTTCTGTGACCCCATCTCCTTCCCTGATGAGCTCCACACCACCCCCACCCCCCCACCCCCGTCTCTGGGAGGCAGGGGCAGGTGCGAGGGGGGCAGTGGTGGTGGCAGGAGAGGGCCGGGGCGTTTCTGTAGCAGCTGGTTGGGCAGGAGGACTCTGCGTCTCTGAGCCACACCCCAAAGTCAGCCCGATGTCCAGTTAAATTAAACAATTTAGATTTTTTTTTAAGTTCAAAAACCAATCGGGAGATTTAGGTCAGATCCAGATTTCTCCAGCTTGTCCCTATGCTTTGTTTATAACAACCACGTTCTGAGATTTGGGTCTGATGGATGAATGTTTCCATGAGTTGAAGGGGTCCTGGGTGCCCTCCTGTGTGACTCCTCGGTCCCATGCGGCCGGGCTTTCACACGGGGAGGGGAGGGCTTGCGGGTTGCTGAAGGCATCCAGAGAAGGAACTTCTTGATCCTGCTCGGTTCCTAGACGCTGCACACGTGCTTCAGGAGACCTAGCTTGGTAAAGGTCAGGCGGCTGGAGATGGCATTTGAATCAAGTATTTGGGCATTGCCACGGAAAGGCCACAACACGAGGCCTCTCGGGTGACATGACTTCAGGGAAATTGCTGCCTGACTGGGCCTGATGGCCGTTGCTGGTGGCTCGGGAAGTGGACGGTGTGCGTGTGCCCAGAGAGGGTCTGACTCCCCCAGGATCCTCACCTGACCAATGAGCCAGAACGACGACCTGCCCGCGGACGTGGGGGTGCACGCCCGGCAGGCACTGTCACGCCTCCTCTCTTGGACACACCGTCCTGTCCTTGGGGCCTGGGAGTCTCAGCTAGAAATGGAAGCCTCCCTGGGAGTGAAATTAGGGCCACGTCCCAGCGGCACGACTGGCGTTCATGTCGTCGGTCCACATCCCTCCCGGGCATGTGTCCCCCCGTCTGTCCCCCCCCCGCCCACTGGGGTCTGGCTCGTGTCCACCTCGGCCCTCAGGGGGACGTCTAGCTGCGGGAAACAGCGTGTGTTGCAGCAAACCTTTCACGAATGACCACCTTTGCTTCGTTTTTTAAAGATTCTGATTTTGCGATTTCCCCCAGTGCCCCAGAGTGGAATGACATAGACCCCAGGCAGAAGGCGGAGCTGGACAAGAAAGTGGAGGATGGCGAGTTCTGGTGAGCCCTGTCTGCGGGAGCCATCCTTCGAGGTGGCTTGCTTCCTGGGTGGCCAGCGGCAGCGTGTCTCCAGGGGTTCAGGAACTCGACGTGGCTCCCTCTGGGGGCGTCCTTCTTCTCCCCCGTTACCCTCGTGCGGTCTGACCTCAGGGCCTGCGTGTGTCCGCGTCCCCGCCTCTGTCCACTGAGGCAGAGCACCACTCCTGTCTCGCCAACCTGGGCTTAGCCCCGAGATAGGGTGACTTCCTTTGCAGGGGGGCTAGGACGGATGACAGGGATGCCCCTTGAGCGTGACGTGGACTAGGGTCATCTTTGCTGGGCAGAGTTCAATCGGAGGACGCTTCTGCAGCCTCCAAGGTGCCTGACCCCGGAGGCAGGGCCCGTTTACCGTTCCGTCCCTCCGCCGTGCAGGGGGGGCTCTCTTATAAAACAGAGACACCAACAGCAGCCAGGGACTGGGACAGCAACCCCGCGGACGTGGACAGGGTCAGAGCTGGTCCCTTGCCCCGTGCTGGGCCCTGCAGGCACGCCCTCCTTTCTCCTGGAGCCTACCCTGTGGACCCAGAAACCTCTGGTCTTTTGCCCACAGGATGTCATTTTTGGATTTCCTGGGGCAGTTCTCTCGGCTGGAGATCTGCAACTTGTCCCCGGACTTCCTGAGCAGCGAGGAGCTGCACAAATGGGACCTGGTCCTGTTCAACGGCCGCTGGACTCGGGGCTCCACCGCCGGGGGCTGCTTGAACTTCCCAGGTGAGGCGGAGGGAGGGCTGCAGGGCCCCAAGTCCCTCTGGCCTGTCCTCCCCAAGCTGGGTAATGCCTTGGCCTGTTCACTGGCTCCTGGCGTCCCTCGGGGGCCGCGCTTCTCCCTGGGCTTGGAGGCCAGGGCGGCAGGGTGGACAGTGGCTCAGCGAACACCGTTCTGTAGCTTCTGTGTGTCCAGGGCGTCCACGCTTCCCCCACCTGCCCCTGCCCCCCAAGGACACGCTTCCTTGTACTCATCATGCTCCTTTCTTGGGCTTCTCCCAGCCCCTGGCAGACACGTGTCCACCCGAGCCCCAGATGCTCTGTTGCTTCAGTAGCCGGCGCTGTGCTAAGCCTGGGCGCCCGAGCCATGGGGGTGGGGGTGGGGTGGGGGGCGCCTGAGCCGGGGCTCCAGGACGGCCACTCCCTGCTGCCACAGGAGCAACACCCTGGTGAGGATGGTCTGTGCAACCCCTGCCTCTGCACTGACCGGGGTGGGGGGGGCTCGTCTCCCTGGGTGGGGAACCCCTCCCCGGTTCGCCGGATGGGACGTCACTGATGCATCCGGCACAGGCTCCTCTTAGGTCGAATCAGCAGCAGGAGGAAGACCCTGAAAAACCGACCCCACCTCCCTAAGGAGAAATGAAGGAGAGCAGAGCCCGCTCCCTCCACCCCCAGCCCCCTGCCCAGATGCAGCTCATTGCAGGGCTGCGCTCAGCATCATAATAAAATCCCACGTGCACGCAGGCTGGGTCCCGACCACCGTGTCTTCCTTTGTCCCATCCAGCCCGAGCTCCACGACTCTGCCGAGCTCTGCTGCTTGACCCTCAGGACGTAGCGTTAATGCCCCCCGTGCGAGGCGCCGCGTGAACCAGGGCTGTTCTGTAAATGGGGGGCGTTATTTTTATGGCTCATTCTCTTCTCCAGCTTTGTTAAGGAGTAAACAAAAAAGGAAGGGATTGCCGTAATGTTGCATTTGGGAGAAATTAAAATACGCTCGCTGTTAGCGAGCGCTTGGAAGGCGGGTAAGAAACTGGCGTGGATCGCTTTGAGAGCGCGGAGCGGTCAGGGCGCCGGAGGTGTCTGCAAAGAATCTCCGTGGTGACCCCATTGGCGTGGCCAACTAGAGGTCGGGAGTGGCCCGACCGTGCGGTTGTGCCTGCCCTTTGGGAACGGTGTCCATGTGCAGGGTTGCAGAGCTGCCTGTCTCCCCGGGAAGCTGCAGAGATTTGGCCTTAAATGCCTCACACTTGTGCCCCAAATAAACAATGTGGATGTGGAGATTCTGGGGAGGTGGGATTGAATAAGTAACGTTCTCGTTAACAGCCTGTGGCTCTTGGTCACTGTGCACGCCTTGTTATCTCATTGCGCTTTACCCCATTTAGGGGATGTGAGGACCCCTCCCCCCAGGTCTGTCCTTCTCCCGGGCACTGCTGAGGCCCTAGCGTGTGGACGCCCGCTGGGCCCGGCGTCTTCAGTGACGCTCGGTCACCTGAGTGTCCTAGAGCCCCGTGTGCCCTCCGACGACCCTTTGAGCTCTGTGCCTCGGCTTGTGGAATCACTGTTTCAAGAGAGTTTTAAAAGTCCTCTTTGGAGGGAAGCAGTCTTTCAGAATGCCCACAGGTGTATGCTTTTTGGTTGCCCATTGTTCTCCCTCACGCACAGCCCACGACGCCCTCCTGGGGGCCGGTGTCTCAGCACTGCAGCCATCTAGCTGAGGGGCAGAGGGTCAGCCCCCAGGGCAGGGGACAGACGCTGGCCCGACGGGCTGTGTCCATGGCTGTGACTCCCCCACAGCCTGAGATCGCCCTCCCTGAGGTGGGCTCGTCTTCACGGGCCACGAGCTGAGAACTGGGGACATGAGCCGTTTCCCCCAGAAGACTTGGGGGTCACTTGTGAGCGTCCCAGGGCAGCCCTGGGGCCATCGGACCTCAAGTATTCCCAGTCGAGCGTGTCTGGGCCCCTGGTTGATCAGATGGACCCGTGCAAAGATTCCAGATGGCGCGGGATGCCACAGGATGCGTCTGTGGGTGCGTGGGAGGGGTGGGGGGAGGAGGGGATGCCTGCCACCCTGCAAGGGAGACTCGCCGAGGCCCGCTTACCACCAGCTGCGCGTTCTCGGGTGACCAAGGCTCTTCCCTTGTATTCTTCCCGCCTCGTCACCCCCCTTGGGGAAACCACGGTCTCCTGGCAACCTCTCGGCGACCTCCAGCCACTTACTGGACCAATCCCCAGTTCAAAATCCATTTGGAGGAGGGGGACGACAGCCAGGAGGGGGGCGTCGGTGAACCCTGCTGCACGGTGCTCCTGGGTCTGATGCAGAAGAATCGTCGGCACAGGAAAGGATAGGACAGGGCATGCTCAGCATCGGCTACGCGGTCTACAAGGTACCTGGAGCTCGGTCGCCCTTTATCACACACTGGATGTCTTTGGTTGGACTGTGTTGGCCGGGAATCGGGGTGCATCTTTGCTATCACTTGAATGGTCCTCATCAAGCCCTCTTCTTGTGAATGCCTCTCCCAGTGGCTTTCCCGGGACCTGAATTCCACCATTAGAAATTCATTTGTACCACTTCCATCTCTGCTGTTAACAACATTCAGATGCAAAATCCCTTAAACTTTGCTTGTCCTTGAGGGCTCAGGGTTACTGCACTCTTTAGACTTTCCAAGTATAGGCTTCTCAGGGTACAGGAGTCAAGAACGGGGGGCCCGAGGCATTTGAAAGGGGAAGGGAGGCCGGATATGGGAGTGAGAGATTCTCCTTTCCTCCCACGCTGGGTGACCTTGAGACTCTTCTTGGGACACACAGGCAGGTATGGCTGGGGTGAGGAGCCACACAGCCACCTTCGGTCCGGGTGCCCCTGGCTTGGGGACCGCAGCTCCATCCCAGGCTGCGGTGCGTGCAGGTAACGCTCCATGGCCTCACGGATGTGGTAAAGCAAGGCCTTCGGGGCTTGACAAGCCCAGCCAGGAACAAATCGCAATTCACTTTTTATATGGACAAAGGCTCCTTGTAACACATTCCGGAGGGATTCGTGGTGGTTGTTTTTATGTAATTTTGTGAAGAATGAATTTCTTGAGAAAAATACAATTTTAATCGGGAAGAACAAGAGCGGCTGGAGGCCTAACGTCTTGGTATAAATTAATGCATGGAAAAGGAGTGTTGTGATAAGAAACCAGTTGCCAAGCCCGTACCATGTCCGGCCCCTTCCCTTCCCCTCTCTTGGAACTTAGGGCTTTAGAGTTCAGGCTGTGGTACGTGCGTCTCTCATCATGGAAGAATGCACACTGAAACATAATCCTGGCTTGATGGCAGGAGAAAGGGATTTCAAATAACCTTAGTTCTGCCTGAGCTTGGCCCTTCCACCCCACCTAGAGCGTGATAGCATCAGACCAGACCCTGCTTGCGGGGACCAAGCCCGGGAAGGCACTCTGCGTGCTTTCGTGAGCGTCCAGCTAGGGTAATAGGGGGCACCTGGGGTCATAGGGGCCACCTGGGGTCATAGGGGGCACCTGGGGTCGTAGCGAGAACCTGGGGTTGTAGGGAGAACCTGGGGTCATAGGGGGCACCTGGGGTCATAGGGGAGCACCTGGTCGTAGGGGGCACCTGGGGTCATGGGCACCTTGAGTAATAGGGGACACCTGGGGTTGTGGGGGGCACCTGGGTTTGTAGGAAGCACCTGGTTATAGGGGGGCACCTGGGGTCATAGGGGGCACCTGGGGTCGTAGGGAGCACCTGGGGTTGTGGAGGCACCTGGGGTCGTAGGAGGCAACTGGGGTCGTAGGGAGCACCGGGGGTCATAGGAGGGCACCTGGAGTCATAGGGGGCACCTGGGGTTGTGGGGGCACCAAGGGTCAGGGGGGTACCTAAGTTTGTAGGAAGCACCTGGTTGTAGGGGAGCACCTGGGGTCGTAGGGGGCACCTGGGGTCATAGGGAGCACCTGGGGTCATAGGAGGGCACCTTGAGTCATAAGGGGCACCTGGGGTTGTGGGGGGCACCTGGGTTTGTAGGAAGCACCTGGTTGTAGGGGGTACCTGAGGTCTCGGGGGCACCTGGGGTCGTAGGGAGCACCTAGGGTCGTAGGGGCACGGTTCCATGACCCCCTGACTCCTAAGGCTCTGGATGTCCGCAGTCTGGAGAGCTGGGTCGGTTGAAAGCCTGTCACCAACTGGGGAGCAGCCTTGATGCCCCGGCGGCTGAGGAGGCCCGCGTGTCTGTCCCGCTCCCTGGCCCCCATCATATTCCTGCTGTGATGACCAGCTCAGGCCTGTTACCCGGGCTCAGGATCCTGCATTTCCTTCCATGGGCCTTGCCGCTCCGGGTTTGGGCGCAGGCATGCAGGTCTGTGAGATATTAGCTCTCATCAAGCCCCCCAGGAATGTGGGGTCCTGGCCAATCACACAACTGGAAAATAAAGTAAAAAATCAGCCCCTTTCCCCCTTCAGACTTGTAGGGTGCACTGGTCTCAGACGGCCTCGAAGTTCACCCAGGACAGTCTGCACAATGTGGGGAGGGATGCAGGGCACAGAGGGCGGGCCTCGCCATCGCGGGTGACCTGCTCTTTCCTTCTGCTCCGCAGGTCCCCAGAGAGGTACGTGAGCGCTGGCCGAGGCATCCTTCCTTCGTGAGGATGTGGCTTGGTGGCCACGGGCTGCTTCCTCGGAGGGAAGCTGGTTCTCCCACACAATCCGGTGAGCCAGCGACCCTGGCAGGTGGCACAGATGATGCTGGGTCCCACCCCCAGGCCCCCCAGGAGGGGACAGTGGTGACCTTCGCGCCCATGTCCCTGGTGGTTTGCTTGGAACCAGGCAGTTACGGCGTGCCCAGGCTCCTCTATCTGGAGACAGGAATGAATGCCCTGCTGTCTGACAAGAAAAGGAAGGGCTGCTTGATCTGCTTGGCTCCGGCCCCTTCCGTGTCTCCGCGGTGACACACCGTCCTGTCCCACTTAACATCTGGGGTTTCCTGCTGATGCCCCCTAGCTGCCCCTGTACCTGGCTGGTTGAAGGGAGAGCCCCAGACAGTGCCTTTGGTGTGGGGGGGGGGCCGGCCTGGCTCGCACAAAGTCAGGCCGCGTGCAAGCTGGCCTCCCCAGTGAGCCGCTCTGTGGCTGCAGGGTAGACACGCGGGTGCGCAGGCTGCATCCCAGACGTGTCACTGCAGAATCTCGGGGGTGATTCTAGCGTGCGGCCGAGGTTGGGAACCCCTGACCCGTGGTGGGGGCCCTCTGGGGTCGACTGTGCTAATGACGTGGAGATGCGTCTTCCCCACGGCATCGCTGGGTCCTCACGCTTTCCCAGATTTGCCAGCCGTGTGGCACATGCCGACGGGGCCCACGTTCTCAGGATCCCGTCGGTGCCATGGGCCGCCTGCCAGCTGGCTCCCAAACACACATCACTGGTTATGGAGCTCACGCGGAGGCAGGACGGATGATGGGGAGTGCACACCTCTTCGCTACGAGAAAATAATCCAAATCTGTGTCACGTCTGGGGTGGTGGTTCCCATCAGAAATGTCCCCTCTGTGTGTGAGACAGCGATCACACGCACACGCGGTGTGCTTCCTGGGGCCCCACACACGTCACTGTGCGTCCTGTGCACTGTCAACAGCTCCCCAGCTGCTGCCCCGGGGACCCCGGGCTTGTGAAAGCTGGTGGCCCAGCCCCAGAGTTCCCGGTGCCATGGGGCTGGGGTGGGACCCGAGACCCTGCACTCCTAACACGTCCCCTGGGACGCTTGGTCCGGCCCTGGGCCCACACCTTGAGGGCCACCTGCCTCTGACCCTGCCCAACCCTGTACTGTCACTCCCAGCTGGGCCTTGCCGAGACAGGCTGTGGGCCGGGGGCTTGGTGGGGTCCCTGGAAGGACGGAGGGACCCCTTCTTGCCTCCAGTTCCATGCAGGCCCCCAAACAGGGCTCTCTAATCTGCCGCACCCGGGGCCCTTGCTGGAACTGTGAGCCTCTTTCCCATGGGGAGAGTGCGCTTCCTGCTTCAGCTCTACTGAGTGCCTGTTCCTGGGGTCCCTTGCCTCCCCCGTCCCTGTGTCAGGGATGGCGAGAATGATACGTACCTCCCTAACACCTTGCCCTTGGCTGGGCCCCTGTTGGCCGCCCCTCTAGCAGTCTCCTGCCCAGAATATGGAAGTTTGCAGGGGGGTCCCAAGTGCACGGGCTGCCCTTGGACCTAGGTCAGCAGGAACTGGCTGGAGATCCCCGTGCAGTCCCGACTGGCCAGGGCGCTGGGGGCAGGTGGCCCCACTTTTCTCCTCCGCTTAGCAGACCTGTGATCCAAAGCAAGTCTGGTGACCGTGGATGGATGCCATCCCCTCTGGGGGGGCGTTCCAGGTCACACAGAAGACACGGCCCTGCGGCTTCTCAGCACCGGCCCTCTGATACAGACGGCTTGAGGAAGATTGGTCATAAAGTCGCAGCGCCACGGGAGGCTTAGTCACCGTAATGACAGCCCAGGCACCCTGCACTCACTAATTAGCCTGCATCACACACCAGGCCCTTCCACTACCAGAGGGGCCGCGGGGCGCATCCTCCCTCCACAGAGAGCCAGGAGCTTGGGGGCCTCCCAGACGACTGGCCCTCTGCTTGCAAAATGGTTTCCCAGAAGCAGAGGGGCCCTTCTGGCTGCTTTGGCTTGAGGAGCAGGATTTCAGCTCGCCCCCCAGCCTCAGGCCCGAGCTGGGGGCTCAGGGCCGCCCAGTTACAGCCGCAGAAAAGGGTCTGTGGGATCGATAGTGGGGTTCGTGAGGCAGATCCCCAGCGAGGAGCGCAGTGTGCACCTGAGACCCTGCTCTGCACCCCTTAGCTTAACCGGGGAGGGGGCAAGGGGTTGGCCACTGTGGCATCAACAGGGTCGGTGTCTCACACGGGGCCTGGTGCCAGAAGTGCCCAAATACACCTGCTGGGGGATGCGCACGGGCGCATCCTCAGCAGAACCCAAGGCCTCCCGGTTTGTAGCCCGGCATTAAAAATTAGCCATCCCCAAATTGGAGCGTAGGACCACACTCTGGAGCCGCCGTCTTCCACGATTCCGAGGGACACTCACCCTGCCCTGCTGTGTGCAGCTTCAGAGCCACACGGATGTGCCCCTGGGCCGGAACTTCTTCCTGGGCCGCCAGCCCTGTGTGCGCTCTAGCACCCACGCCAACCTGCGGGAGGTGTCCGGCCGGATGCAGCTGACCCCGGGGGAGTACCTGATCGTGCCGTCCACCTTCGAGCCCTTCCAGGACAGAGAATTCTGCTTGAGGCTGTTCTCACGGAAGGCCAAGGCCCTGTGTGTATTCTGTCCTTCGGCAGTGCTGGGGGGCGGGGGCTGAGTGCCTGGGCTGGGGGGGCACGTGTGGTCTGGCAGGTGCACGGCCTGGGTCACAGCCACCGTGGCCCAGACGGAATCTGTAAAATTCCCTGTTCCCAGGGGTCCTTCACTCGCTGTCCCCTTCCCTCCCCTGTGGGTCTGTGGGACACCAGGCTCTTGGCTTCCAACAGGTCGAGGCTGGGCAGAGGGCTTTCCTCCAGCAGGGATGGTCCCTGAGCCCAGGGAGTGGGATCCAGAGGGATCACTGCCTCCTCCGCACACACCCATGCACACGCACCACACACGCACCTTACACCACACAGCACGTAGGGGTTTGCATGCACACACGGCCTGTGGGCTTGCTGGCTCATTGTCCAGAGGCAGTGTGTATAGGGATTCACGGAGCTGGGTCTCCCGGGGAGGAGAGAGTGACCAGGTGGTGAGAGAATCCCCCAGAGTCGGGCCACCAGGGCAAACATTTCAGGTTTCATGAAGGGTCTGGTGACAAACCCGGGGGGCGGGGCTGGGGATTGGGGGGAGAAGGGAAGGATGTGGGTCAAGATTCAGTCCGTGCAGTTTGGTGCTAGTAGGGACTGAGGGTCTTGGGTAGGAAGCCGATGCTTCAGAAAAGTAAAATGCTTCCTGAAAGAACCCAGTCAGCTGTCCTGTTTACTTACCGTATTTGTTTTTCTCCTTTCTTTGTGTTCCAGGGAGATGGGAGCTGTGGTGGCTGGAAACCCACATGAGGTATGAAATCCTTCAGAACAGAAGCTCTGGCACTGTGGCATACCGGGCATTCGGGATTTCTTGTTGATTTGTAGAAGTTCTTTACATATGAAGGATGATGACCATTTATTCATCAGGGCCACAACATTTCCTAGGCTCTGGTCCTTCCTGACAAAGATGGGACAGCAGCAGGGCGACCCAGGTTGGGCGGCTCATCCCTACCCCGGGGGGCCGGGCATCTGTCCCCCGCATCCGTCGGCGGGACCCTCAGAACGGGCCTGTGCTCTTGAGCAGTTCTGGGCAGGACAGAGAAGGCAATGGGAGGGAGAGTTCAGCCTCTGCTCTCAGACCTGCAGGCTCTCGGGGATAGATGGTGGAGGCGCATGAAACCGATGAAGGAAAGCTCATCCAGACATGCCGGAGATGGGTCTCAGGCTGCGCGCGAGGGGTCTGGGGGTGCTGGAGTGAGCACACAGTCTGGGGGCCCTGTGGAGGGGCGAGGTCAGGGCAGAGGCCGGAAGAAGAACGTGCGCCCATTTCCGTCCTCAGCCCACTGTCGTTTTCCTCCGGTGGCCCCTGTGGAGGCTGCTCGTGGAGGGGCTGCTCCGTGAGGGGTAGATGCAGGCCGCCCTGCCCTGTCTGCACCAACGCGCGCTGGGGGTGGGCGGCTCTGTCTTCACAGGGCCACCGCCGCCTGTCGGCCCGGTGGCTGCGGGTTCGGGTCTGGCCGAGCCGGGCTGGCAGAGGCACCTGGCGGGTTTGCACGCTCCTGTTCCTGCAGGCGCGAGAAGCCCTGGGGTCCACTCACTCACTCACTCATTCATTCAGTGTTATTTTATGTTTTTTATTTTAATTCCGGTACAGTTCACAGTGTTCTCTTAGCTTCAGGTTAGCTCTGGGGCTTACAGCATGAGCTCATGAGACAGAATCGCCTGCTCCCACTGTCCGCGTGGTGCATTCCAGTCAGACCCTGGGTGGCCGGTGCCCAGCAGCGCCCCTGCTGCTGGTCAGCGGGACGGGTGGCACTGGCGGTGCTTTCCGGGCTGGCGGCTCCTGGTGGCGGAGCTGTCCCGCCCTACCCTGCCCCAGGGAGAGGCCCAGCCTCCTCGGGGACTCCTCTCTCATAGCAGCCTCTCTTGCTGCTGTCCCAGGGAAGGCCCATGTGCCCGAGTGGAGGGCGTGGGTCTGAGCCTGCAATTCGGGTGGTAGGAGCCAGCCTTCCGCCCCTTTTTGGTTTCTGTGAACTGGATGGAAGGCTGGCCCCGACCCCATGGCACCAGGTTGGCAGGAGTTCAAGCCCAGGCGTTGCGGGGGCTCCTGGCTCCCCCTCCCGAGGTCTCGGGGTTTCCTGAAACACCTGCTGCTTCATGGGAAGACTCTTCCTCTTGCAGGTGCTCACCGCTCTCCCTTGGAACACCCCAGTCTCAGCTCACGGTTGCTGCTCCTGAGCCGCCCGGGGGCTTCTGTGCGAGCTCGGGGCTCCGACCCTTTGTGAGCCAGGAGCCCCCAGCCTAGCGCCCAGCATTCCCTCGTGAGGTCCCGCAGAGATGCATGAGATTCCCAGGATTCCAGGGCCCTACACGCACACACACACGCACACGGAGGTCACATCTGTGGGGGACTCAAGACTTACAGATCGCGGGGATGGCCCCTGCCACGTGCCAGGCGTCCAAGAAATCTCTTTAAAGGAATGAGCAAACCGCAAGGTTCCACATACGCCATCATGCAAATGCCCCTCGTTCCCGTGATCTGTGTGCAGTGCTCCCACCTGGTGGCAGCGTGCCTGCCGCCCACCTGCGTGTGCCCGCTTCCATATCCTGGCTTTGTGGCTTTTGTTGTTTGGTTTGTAATTTCACAACCCCCTCCCCCCGAGGATAATAGAATCTAACCCCACGTCCGGAGTCGGTGGACATCCCACTAGACTTCGGCGCGCAGTGTATTGTGTGATGGGAACAATGTAACCCGTTTATTCTACAAAACCTCTTGAAAGTCACGTACGTGTGATGACAAGTGTTTATCATTTTTCTTCTGGAAAGTTCAGACGTGTTCTCGGATTTGCTCATCGTGTGTGTAAGCGGTAGGGAGGCGTGGCTGTCCCCACGCTGCAGACAAGGAGGCAGCCCCGGGGCTGCAGGCATGTTTGGCCCCCAGAGCATGTGCTCTGGTTTTCTGACTAAAGGCGGAGAAGCGCACAAGCTGCCTCTCACATCACGGCTCCAAAGCCGGCCAGAGGTGCGGTCCTGGTGTTACTTAACTGCACGTACGCCGTGTGGACCGCAGTGGGACCCACCCCACAGAAGAGTCATGAGCAGTAAAGGAATTAATCCCTGAGGTGCCTGGTGGGTAGTGAGCCCCTGTCAACGGTGAGCATGGCCACCGTCCTTGTTACTCCCGTCTGTACAGTGTCGCCAGGCCACGTCCGGCCTTTTCTGCTTCTCCGGGCGATGGTTTTAGAACGTGGACTTGGCTTTCTGGGAGCTCCTGAAGCCTCCCGGGAAGCGTGTGACTTCCTGTCTGTCGGTGGGGACGTTGGGGGTGGGGCCCCCGTCAGGCTGCAAGTCCCTGGACAGACCCAGTCACGTAACGTTTGTAACTTTGATGGGACTTTGACCCCATCAGCTGGTGTTTGCTTCTGGAAGGAGCACCGGGGAGCAGCCTCGTCATTTAACCACAGACTGAGGGAGTGAGGGAGGGTTCTGGGAGCCCGGGGCAAACCGCCGCACGGCCCCTCCTGTGTCCGAACCCCGTCTTCTGGCTCCGACTTCTGCTACGTCCACTAGGCTGTGACCCCAACTACTTTCGAATCCTGGGGTGATTTGAGAGTCTGAGGAACGCTAGGAAAACACATGGACACTACCCAACATGTTCACGCGGTTTCTGGGGTTCACAGACTCCTGGGAGGTCTCTGGGGGGGGCCTCTGGGGGCCCCCAGGCCAGACGGAGATTCTCTGTGGTCAATCTGAAGCGATTATGGGTTGAAACTGGAAATTCAGGGCTGGCGGGATCACCTCCTCACATCAGGGAGGCAAGGCCGCCCCGCGCCCCACGGAGCCGACGTCGGCACGTGGTGGGTGTGCAGTGGGAACAGGGAGTGACGGATGTGAAATCTTCGTCCTCCCAGCGACCCCCCAGCCCCCGCTAACTCTCTGCTGTGCTTCCCGTCAGCCGCGCCCGGGCGACGTGGACCAGGAGGTCGGCCAGTTCTGGAGCCTGCTGGGGAAGCTTGCGGGGAAGGTGAGTGGGGCCAACACGCCCTCCCCACGGGCAGGAGGGTGGCCAAGACCTCAGGCCGCTTCAGCCTCTGTCCCCTGGGCGTCTCCGTGGGCCGAAGGGCGAGGGGCCCAGCTTCTCTCCGCGGCCTCCTCCCGTCTCAGCTCTGGGCTCCTCCCTGTGTTGTGGGGACAGTGATGGTCCCAAGGCCGCATCTCGCTGCATCAACGGACCCTTCAGGAAATAGAAAATCCAGAAGCAGGGTGGCAAGACATCCCTAAATCATATGCTTCACCTACCCCGGCTGCCACCCTCGGTGCTCGGCCGCAGCATTCATGCCAGGTCCGGTGCCAGTGGTGCCCCGGCTCCTTTCCGCTCCATGCTGTGTGCAGACTTGGGTTTATCACGTTCCAGGCCTGTGGGGTCACACGGCCCCATAAGTAGAGTGGATGCACTGCTCTCTGGGGTACTGGGATGTACCCCAGGGTCTTGGCTGGTGTCTCGGCTCCGGCTGCTGCATCAAGAACCACGGACGGCCCGTAAAAAACAGACCCTGATTGCTCCCGGATCTGGGGGCCGGCCGTCCAATGTCCAGTGCAGGGAGCCTGACATCCGAGGTCCGGTGCAGGGGGCCAACCGACCGCGGTCTGGTGCAGGGGACCGGGGTCTGGGCTGAGCCCCTTTCTTGGCTGCAGACAGTCTCTCCATGTGCTCTCCTTGTGGAGAGAGGGGCCAGGGGGCTCTGGGGCCCCTTTGCAAGGGCACTGATCCCACCGCAGGGGCTCCACCCTCGCTCGGGGCCTGGTCACCTCCCCTTCCTGAGACCATCACACTGGGCTCAGGCTCCCACACAGGGGTTTGGGGGACACACATGTTCAGTCCTTAACAGAAGGGGAGAAACAGTACTGTCCACCCTGAGGGACATTCAGGACAGAGAATGGAATAGAAAAAAATATGTCGGAACCCTTTGCAGGAAATGAAACCGTACATATGGTTCCTTCGCCGTTGAAGAAGCCTTGCAAAAATGAGTCCATTTCTGCTTTATTTGGATGCTCAGACCAGGATCCCGGGAGCTGCACCGGGCCTGGGCGGTGAGGCCGCATCTGAGATTAAAGGGCAAACCTTCCCTCTGGCGCACTCCGGAAATCTTCCCTGACACCTCCACACCCAGTTTGGGGGGCTCCTGCGTGAGATGCCGCCGGAGGAGTGGGTGCTTTGGGCGAGACCGTGTTAGGTTTCGAGTCGCAGCTCTGTCACCTGGCAGCTGTGAACCCGCAGAAATCACATCACATGAATGACACGTTCCATTGAGCGTGTATATGGTGTTCACAAGTTTACAAAACCACAGGTCCTTACTCCATGACGGAGGCCACACCGTTCTGAGGTCGCAAGGACACTCGGCGGGCGGCGGGCACGTGGCTCCTGGTCCCGCCCTTCGTCACACTCCCGCCAGGCTGTGGGGGATCCCAGAGGAGCTGAGAACTAGAGTTTCTAAAGATGCCCCGGGGCCCTTGGATGTGCTGTCTGGGCCACATCAGCCTCACACCCTGGAAACTTGCCAGGACCTGGTGTGACTCACATTTGGGTTCCTCTTTCCAGGATTCTGAGATTGGTGTCCATGCACTCAGGACACTTCTGAATGAGGCTTTTTCCAAAGGTAAGTTCTTCCTTGGAGCTTTCCAGAAAGATCGTGGGAGCCTAAGAGAGGTGAAGGGTGGGGGGTGGGGGCGAGGGACGGGTGTGTGTGGGGCGTCAGGTTTGGGGTCATGAGCTCTGCAGATGCAGATGCGGAAGGAGACCCTGGGGGCATGAGGGTGTCCAGCAGGGGGGCGGGGGTGACGCTGCTAGAAGGATGGGGGGGGTCCTGGGAGGAAAAACTGGGCTGAGGGTGACCAGACCCATGACGTCTCCCCAGACATACCAGGTTGATGCTGTGGGACAGTGCAGATTGAGGGCCTGTTCCGTGGAGCTGTGGTTTTGACTCCCAGGTCCTGGCTTCTTGCCTGGCCCAGGATGGGGATGGACAGGGGGATGGGTTAGGGACAGGGGCGGGGACGGGCTGTCTGCGGCTTCCCACTGGTGGAGCGAGGGCCAGGACTGGGCTGAGATGTGGGACACAGAGGAGGAGGAGGAGAAGGCCCAGAGAGAGCCCTCGGGCCCTCGAGAGACAGGCTGGGGCTGAGCGGGGCGCGGGCCCTGGCTGGACGGTCTCCGCCCTCTGCTCCAGCCCTGGCTTCTGTTGAGAAGGGGTGAGAGAAGAGGGGACGGCTGCAGGGTCTTTGGCTTCTGGGTGCGGCCAGGTGAGGTGGGGGCCAGGGAGGCAGCGCCGAGCAGGTGCCCGCAGGTGAGCGCGCAAGGTGTCAGGGCTGGTCTCCAGGGCCTGCCTTTAGGCCCTGCCCGCCCCTGCTGGTGGCAGATTATTCAACCTCTCTGGGCCTCCATGTCCTCGTCTACAAAATGGGGATGCTGATAGTTCCGACCACGTGGGGTGGTCCTGGGGACGAGGCGTGGGGCTCGCCCCTACAGAGTCAGCGTCCTGCTAGGGGCGAACCACGTCCAAGCGCTGCGCTCGGAACTCGCATTGTCCCTTTTACCCGCAGCCGGCCTCTGGGGCAAGTAGTATTATTGCCGTTATTCCCCCTGGCGGAGGAGGGAACCGGAGCTCAGGGTTAGCTTGAGGGGCTGCTGAGCAGCACACATGCCTCTGGGAGGTTCTCTCCCACCTTCGGAGACCCAGATCCCCACCCTTTTCCATTTGAATGTTCAGAAGCAGATGTAAAATTCCTCGGATTCGGCGCCAACACTTGCAGGGAGATGATCAGCTTGATGGACGTATCCTTTTGCCTGTTGCTGTATTTTCCCTTTTCCCTGATTTTTGGGACTCCTGGACCTTTCCCGTGAGAGGGGAGGGAGGGGGCGAGCAGGGGCACCCGCGGTGGTGGAGCGCCTGGAGCCCGCTGCGGTGCCGCCCGCGTGGTAGGGAAAACCGCGCCGCCTCGTTTCGCTCCGCAGGAAGCTCACGCTTGTCCCTGTTTCCCGGTGAGGCCGGTGAGGTGCTCCGGGTTTCAGCCCGCGAACCCAGAGACGGCAAGTGCCGGGCATCGTGCCTTCCTCCCGTTAGACCCGCCAGGCTCCCCCCTCCCCTCCGCAAAAATGAGTCC